ATTTTTTGATTTATTGTAGAGATGAGGTCTCGCTGCCCAGGCGGGTCTCGAACCCGCAGGCTCAGGCAATCCACTCACCTCAGCCTCCCAAAGGCGCGGGATTACAGGCTGAGCCACCAAGCCTGGCTCTTGGAGTAATTTCTAAAAATAACTTGTCTCTAATCCTAATGAAAAATATAAAAACGCAAATTATAAATATATATATATATTAATTTTTATTTTAAAGATTTGGGTGCAGTTCAGGGTTAGGTATACAAACAGTCATTGTACAGGTAAAGTTTGGGCCTCACTTTGGTCCCCACTTCACCTGGTTTGAGATCAGATACACTTATTGATAAAGTGCTCTCCCCCCGTCCCCCTGGCAGTTTCCCACTACTGCCCATCCCTTTCTTATAGTGTTATAATAATTGTTCAGTGTCTGCTTATGAGTGAGAGCATGTGGTACTCAGTTTTTTGTTCCTATGATAGAACACTGAGTATTACAGACCAAATCTATCCAAGTTGCTGCAAGTTCATGATTTTGTCCTTCTTTATATTTTTAAATGGAAACACCACTAAAAACAGAATGCTATAAATAGACTGATTTCATTTGTTTCCAAAGACTGTCGATAGAACAATGTGAAAATAATAAAAGCGAGATTTCTCCTGTCAATATCTGGGGTGAGGTTAGGACTCTCACCATGCGATCTCTCAGGGAAGCCAGGAAAGGGTTAAAGCAGCACTTGACCCAGCAAGAAAGATGTCCATCAAGCCTGGAAAGGGCGGAGATGCCTACTGGAAGGGAGCGGAATCACCTTGCCCTGGCGTCTCAGGGGCTGTTTTGTTCTTTCCGGTCCCGAGTTGACTCATCCAAGCTCTGCTTCCCTCATCTGTGAGTGAGAAGGTAGCACAGGGCCTCTGGTGCTGGAACCTTCCTGACGGTGAAACCACGCCTCACTCTTCACTTGGGCCTAAGTGGAAAGCCAGTTGGATAGAGAGTGGACACAGAGACACTGCAGAACCCCGACAAGTGTCACCAGTCCTCCATCTAAACCAGACATGTACAGTCCTCCCAAAGCTGACCCACTGAGCGTCAAAATACAGGGCCATTTTTCTACCCATCCTTCCCTCTCCTCATCCCCCACATCTGACTTCCACTCTGTCCTTGGGTCCTTTGGCTGCTGCCTGAAAGGCTTGGTGGGTTGATTCACCTAGACGCTCACAGCCGGGTCCTCCAGCTCAGGTCCCCCAGCTGTCCTGTCCTACCCAAGGGGACAACCCCAGAGGAGTTTGCAGGGGCATGGGAGAAGGCCAAGGGACTGAAGCCAGCAGTTTAGGAAGAGGAGGAGCCTGTCTTCCTGGGTGGAGCTTGGGAGCTTTAAGAAGCATTTACACCAGTGTGGGTGTAAACTTTAAAGAAATTCTGCACCTCTCACCCAGGGTTCTCCATGGGTGGTGATTCACTGAGTTTTATCTAGAGTATAGACTTTCTCAAACCTCTCCAGGGACTGATCTTGCAGTTGAAGGATCAGCAGCCCAAGACAGACAGAACTTTCCTTGGCGAGTCACCGGAGGGAGGCCCCGTGAGGTGTTCCAGAATGTTCGCAGCCTGACGGTAGGCCATGTGCCCTGAGCCCTGGCCCCAGATCATCTGCTTGTACTCTGCCGTCTTAATGAGCACTCTGAGCTTTCTTTTTAAATCGCCTTAAAAATTTTCTTCTCATTATGCCGGGAATGGAATGTTCTAATCTCAGACGTGGGGACAGTTTGATGTCCATTATCTGGGAGCAGACTAATTGGGTTTGGATCATCCAGGCATCTGGCTTCTCCACACTTTCTCTTTCTTTCCAAGCTAGAAATTGAAGGAAAGAGGGTACAAAGCACTCTGCGTTTTTCCTAGAACAGCCTACA